ATAAAGGCATGTTAAAAATTAGACCAGTTTGGTGCTTCTAAAAAGGGATTGTATTATTGAATACAGAGCAAAGAGAAGCATATTTTAAAGGTGAACATTTAGCCATTTATAGATGTAGACGATACATTATTTTGGTCTGAGAATTGTTCAGTCTTTTCATGTAAGACAGACCTAACTGGATGGAATACTCATATCTTTTACAAACAATCCATGTCATTTCTGAATACTTCTAATGTAAATCTTCTCTTCAAAGTATATGTTACATACTTACAGTTGGCCACACTCTTTATGGTTGCTTTAGCATGTGTTGAAGACCATAATGACATCCTCAGGTTATTATGATGGGGCTGACACTGAAGTATCAAGGGATCTCACTATGGATGATGAGTAGGAAGATGGATGGTCAACCAGCCTAGATTTAAGTATCCTCAGTCATGAAAACAATGATTTGTTTGTCTTACAACTTTGTGAAGTTGCATGGTTGCTGTTGTCTTAAAAAAATTATTAGCTTCATTATATCCCTTTTGGCATGATGTTTTACAAATGTGCAATATGAATTTTAAGTTTTTTTCCCTAGTGAAATAGCTAAAGTTCTCATATCTATATCATCATTACTTTCAAGTGAAACTTCCAAATCTGGTTCACAGAAATGGGGTAGGTAAATGGTAGCAAAAGAACAGAATCTTCTGGGGGGGGGTTTTGCTATTGTTGTTGTTGTTTTGGCTTTTTTTGTTTGTTTTTTATTATTTTTTAAGAGCAGAATCTTCTTCATTGCTTCTGACATTGCTATTAACAACTATGTGGCCTTGGTAAAGTTTCTTAAACTCCTAATTTACATGATGAAAATATTAGTGTAACTTCCACAGTACTCTATAAGAATTAAGTAAGTGGCAACACTGTTAGAACAATTGAATCTAGCAAAAGTTGAATAAATATTTATGGCAAGAAGTCATCTTCAGAGGTCTGTTCCAAAACAGCACATTGTGATGGAAATTCTAGCAAGACAACACTGCTCACCTGGTGGCAAGGACATGAAAGGGGAGGAGGAAACTCAACTTTTATGAGTGTCATACACCCCTATGCTGCCATTTTACAAGGAAGGGTCCACCATCTCAGTTTCATGGCCCTGGAAACTGCACCTTAATTACATGGATATTTGTGAGATATCCAGAATCCAAATTATAGCAATTTTTATCTCTGTAATTGCAAGTATCTTTATTGATATCATTCCAAACTTGTGAATTTCTGATAACTTGCTATTTTTTCTAGGAAACAATTCAGTTGTGCAATACTTGTTGAATAAGTATTCAGCTGAAATTTTTGGGAAAAAAAGATGTGACACGAAGGATCTCCATTTCATGGGGGAAACATTTTAATTTTAAATGTGGTTATAAATATTTTTTCATACAATATATTCTTATTATGGTTTCCCCTCCCCAAGTTTATCCTAGTTCCTCCCTACCTCACCACCATCCACATCCACACTGTTTCTGTCCTAAAGAATAAATGCAGTGATAAACTGACTCCTATTGACATTCTGCTATATTCATAGATGAGTGCTTATGTGGCCACCATCAGAGAAGTTTCCTACTGCAGCAAACAATATTAAATACAGCTAAACATTGTGCAGAGGGAGAGACAACTTGGAACACTGAGATTGAAATAGGATATTTCCATCAAAATTTTCCTCTCAGAGTTCAGGAAACCCGGTGAAAGCTGAGGCAGAAAAAGTGTAAGAGCCAGAGGGGATGGATGGCACCAGGAGAACAGGGTAAGGCCTGCTAAATCAACTGAATGACACTCATATGAACTTACAGAAATAGAATCAGCAAGCACAGGGCCTGCACACGTCAGTAACAGGTCGTCTTGTATATAATATTGCTATCACATAGTTGTTTTATAGGGTTTGTAGTTGTGTGGACAAGTTGGTCTCTGATTTTTATGGCATGTCTTGGTCTCTACTCCTTCTTTTGGTTTGCCTTGTCCAACTTTGATGTGACTGTTTTGTTTTATATTTTATTTTGTTAAAAAGAGAAAAGAAATAAGCTTCTAAGGGATAATAGTAAAATAAAAATTAAACAAAATAGAAGTAGGACAAAACAAGCCAGAAAAGGAACAAAAACTAGCATGTGAAACATACATAAATGCATATGGCAATGCTCTCAGTGGGCAAATACTTGAGTAATATAAATCCACGTACAAAAAATTCAAATTAGTCATTCCAATCATTGAATAAATAAAGCCTAGTGTGGATTCTCTAGAAAAATTTCAACATAAAAATTCAAAAGCATTACTTTTTTATACTTGGAGAGTTTTGAAAGTTCTCTATAGATTCCAAACTCTTTTTACTTTCTTCATTACTGAATTTCTGTTTGGAATTAGCATGAATAATCTACACATTTTGAAATATTTAGCCTTTAATGACTGCAAAATAGCTTTTTTTTAAACATTCGTTGTTAATCCCCCTACCAAGTGGTTAAATTTGTTGAGTATTATCATAATCAGTCTAGTTTTGTTATGCATTATATTTATGCGATGGACTTTCCTGAGTTTATTGATTTTCCCTTTTCTGTGTTTGTATACATTTTACAAATGTAACACATGGTGGGTATTAATAAGGTTATTAACATTTGTCATATATTTTCTATTTTGAAATTTCTAAAATTCATGCTGCAATCTTTGCTTTTCATTAGTGTTTGACCCAAAATAATTAATGCAGTTGTTGACAAGTTTTGCTCATATCCATCTCCTACTGATTCTGCATTTGTCCTGCAATCTACTGGACTTTTGTTTCCTCTTTCTTAGTCTTCTTTCTTGGGTACATTTTTGTATTTCTTCTTCTGTACTTGTGTTTCTTTTTCCCCATGACCTTTTTGTAAATATTTTCCTTATGAATTAATCAGCATGTCCTTTCCTATCAAAACTGTCTATCTCAACTGTCATATCATACAATATATAAGGAACACAGGGTTGTATATCCACTTAACTCAGCTACTTTCTCTCCTTTCTTTCAAATGTATGTGTTCCCCCCGCCTCGTGTGTGTGTGTGTTTGCAGATGCATGTATGGTTTTTGGCTTCATAAGCAGGTAGATAATTGGCATATCTGAATACAAAGGTATAGCTATATCAGTCTACTGTTCTTTTCACATATATCAGCACATTTAAATTTTATAAAATAGCTAATCATTTGAAGGATTTTAAATTTATTTTAAAGTTATTAATATGTGTCATATGGTTTCTATTTTGATGTCTTCCATTTATCTAAGGTCAAATTTCCTGTATTCCCTGTACTGAGTCATGGCAGGCAGCAGCAGTTCTCAGTCAGCAAGGAATTTAACAGCTTGCACCTCAACAGTGCAGTGTATGCTAAGCTGTCATGTTTAGTATATCAGATGTGCTAAACCCATTTTTAATCTACCATGTTTTTACCTTATGATAAAGGTACAACTCCACAACATTAAGCACATCTGCTTTTATTCATCCCTTGCATTAATTCTTTCATTTCATAAATGACAAAAAGACATCATTGAACCAAAGTCTTATCCTTGGTATTTTCCATAGATCACTGAAACACTTTTTTTTTACCTTTCCTTTTCCTGTAATTGTCATTTTCTTTATTATAACAATTTTACAGTATTTTACCATCTACTTTCTTGGTGGTGGAAGTCTTCTGTTTATATGTTTATCTTATTGGTTGTTGAATAAAACACTATTGTCAATAGGGAAGCAAGATAAGTAGGATTAGGAGTAGAAGAGGATTCTGAGAATTGTAGTAAAGGGAAGTTGACAAGTGATCCAGGCAGGAAGTGACATAGCAAGCAGAATCAAAATATAAGCAGGGACAAGCAGGAAATGTCTCTATCCTCATCTCTTCTCTGAAGAGACATAGAACAGACACAATGTAGACAACGATGGAGTAGGAGGCCTGGACCTTTCCTCCAGTAAGAGAAGGCCACAAGAAAATAGGATCAGGGAAGCAGCCAGGTCATAGAAATCTTCATGTTACATTTTCTCATATTATGTATTATTGTTTCTGTTATACAATTTTTATTTTAGTTTTTTACTAATAATTGTTTATTTTATTGAATTATCTTATTATTCATATTTATATTTTATGTGAGTCATCATTTTAATAACAAAATATTATATTTAAAACCTAAATATGATATACACACCATGTGTTTGCATCTAAACATGGTCCATCTTTCTGGTTCATCAGACCTAATAAATGTAAGTGCAACAATATACATTGTGGATTACATTGTTGAAAATCAGATATTTACATACCTTTAAGACACTTCACTTTGTTCTAACAATAATAAATCTAATAGCATGTCTCCTATATATTCTTAGCCTTGCTTCTCAGTCTTTCTGAAGGATGGTTCTAGAATAATCTTACTCTTTTATTACAACAGTACTACTACAATGCCTTTCCTTGATCATGTGTCTTAACTGCAAGTTTGATTAAATAGTTTGGTATTGGTCTCAGTTAGGGTTTCTCTTACTGAGTAGAGATACCATGACCATTGCAACTCTTAGAAAGGAAACCATTTAATTGGGGCTGACATACAGTTCAGAAGTTTAGTTCATTGTCATATTGGCTTGATATGATATGGCATACCAGTAGACCTGGTGCTGGAGAGGTAGCTGAGAGTTCTATATCTAAGTTGTCAGGTAGCAAGAAGAGTCAGCTACTGGGCCCATCTTGAGCTTCTGAAACCTCCAAGTCCACCCACAGTGAGACACTTCCTCCAAAAGGCTATACCTAATCTAAGAAGGCAACTTATCCTAGTCATTTCAAATAATGCCACAGCAATCTATTTTATTATGCATGGTATAACTTCCAGCACTCTGAAACTTTATAGCAAAGTCTGAATATTATGTCTAAACAAATATTTACATAATCCCATGATGGGCACCTGCAGCCTTTTTGGCAAAACCACAGCAGCACTTATTACAATGTTCATGACAAACTAAGACTTACATTTTTATCCTGCAGGAACTGAAGACAGCATACTTAACTACGGCTACAAATTTTGTCCTACTCTGTGGTCAGGAAAGTTCTCCCAGGCAGAAATTAATGTCTATTGTTCAATTTACTTCCTGTATCCCCATAAACCTGCTCTCTTTCATTCACAATAAAAATTGCTTCATCTGGTTCATTTTATCTTGTATTGATTTACAGTGGAGAGAAAGTCATGGACAGATGTGAAATTATGTATTGATATTGTTATATTATGGTGAAGGTAAGTATACTGTGTGAACTATTTATTTACATATTATAGATAAAAAACTCCATTACTTCATTGTATCTCTACAATACTAAGTAAAGCAAGTAGTTTTCTGAATATCTGAATATATCTTCTGTAAGAAAAAGCACATGAAATAAATTATGGAAGGATATATTGAAAGTCTTTACAATGGAAGATCTTTCTTTTAACTACTATGTTTTTATTAATATGAATAATCAATAAATAAAATGTCAGAAATAAAATGATAATAACTCTTATCAAGGATATTATGTTGTTCATAGATTAGTTACACATTTTCAAAACACCAAGCTACAAATGGAATCTGTTGTCAGCTATCTGCCAAGAGCATAAGCAGCTGAGCTTTAAAATGACACACGACTACATCTCTATTTGTCTGAAGAAATGTCTGTGTGTGATATGTTTATAACTGCCGCCACACTCCGTTTCTCCACCCTGACAGTTCAGGAGAGATATAGTATTTCACTCTATGGAATTCAAAGCATGTGCTGCACTTTGTGCTGAGGCTCTATGGCTTCAAAGGGCTTACAATATGCTTTCCTAGTGAATCTTCTCTACCCAATAGGACATGTTGCACTGAACTTTATATTGTTGAATGAAAGACAGATATAAGGTTCCAAAGGAATTCTGACAACTCAAGAAAAATGTTTTTCGTACCATCTCTGGTACACATAGAGATTAATAGAAAAAATAGTTTGGTGAGTGAAATAAAAAAGGAAACTCTAGTATACTAACTATATTTGGAAACAGAACACACACATATAACACATTTATTTTTATAACTTATTTTTCTTTCTATGTTACAATTTATCTTATTTAAAAACACTTTTAAATTGTTGACTTTATAGGGAAAATACGCTCATCAGTAGGAAGAAAATTGAAAGTTTACATGTTTTAGGTGAAAATTAGCAAAAAATAAGAAAAATTATTTATTTGCACACACATACATAATTGTCTCTTAAAATGTGTAGTTCAGAATTACTGACATATCAATTCCTCAATAGACCCATATAAAACTTTTATTTTACTTATATATTATTGTCACAAAATACATGAAATCATCAAGTTAAAATAATTTTGATTATTTAGAAGTGTGTGTGTGTGTGTGTGTGTGTGTGTGTAACAATAAGAAGATAAATGGGCCATGAATTTGAAAGAGAGTATGGGAACAATATGTATAGAATGTGGGGAAAGGAAATAGAAAGGGGAAATTATCCAAATATATTATAATCTCAAAGGTAAAAAATAATCAAAATATAAAAATGTTTAAAAATAGTCTGAAATATTTATTTTGAACAGGGAAATGTGGCAGATTTGTTTTCACTCACAGTCATTTAGTGTTGTTGTTTTTTCTGAGTAGCTTTGGAGGCTGTCCTGGAACGAGCTCTTGTAGAGCAGGTTGGTCTTAAACTCACAGAGATCTGCCTGCCTCTGTCTCCTGAGTGTTGGGATTAAAGGCATGTGCCACCACCGCCAGGTGGCTCACAGTCATTTAGATTCATCGTCACTTGGCCCACAAAATTAGGGATGTAGGGCAGTGAATTATGATAGGAACATGTAGCAGAAGATGCTCCTGCACCCTCCAGCCAGGGTAAAAGTTAGAAAGGAAGTGTTACAGCTCCAGTATTCATCTGAGGCTCTCCACAGGACCTAACCTCTTATGTTTTCCTCACTATGACAGATATGATGAGGAGCATTTGTTAGCCACACATTCCGGAGGCTACAAGTTCATGATGTACTCTAAAAAGCAAGCTATTATTCTTGCACACCTCATACGACACAAATATGTTTTAATGGAAATGTGTGTTCATGTTGTCATGAAGACTTTCAGTAAAGAGCAATTGGGATGTTCATAAATCCTTTGGAAACTCAAATGTCCAAGGCAATCTATGCTAGAGTAAGCGCCAGGAAAGTACAGGGTAGAGAGAATGACATTGTCTGAAAAACAAACAAACAAAAACAATTATTTCAAGACTAGGAGGAATAGAGAAAAGAAATTTCCATCCTAATTTACCCAAATCCAGACCATAACACATTTGATTCTTTTAAACCCTGGACAGCCTGACTGCTATTGACTAATCTTGAAGATGATGTCAACACATATTTCCATAAAAGCATATGAGTGCCATTTGCCACCCATAGTTTACAGTTTACCATGACACATGACTTAACTAGAGATTAAGTGCTGAACTGTCACTGTCACTTATAGTAGAAAGTTGCAATGTTTGAACTCATTATGGTGACAAAAAAGCTATCAAAATATTAAAGGTGTACATCACAGTTAACAATTATTATTATATATCCCATATTTCTGTTCATGTCTCAACTAAAAAGACTATCTCATATATACAGCATTTCTTTCCACGTTTTGATTCATTTTAACCTGTTTCACATAGATTTATATTCATATTGTATGCTAATAAATGATAAAAATATCTATATATATTTTATGCATTAATGATGTGCATAATTTTTCATGGTTTTATCATACTTTTTGCTATAGTCTCTGACAGTTTGTTCAAATTAAAACTAGCATAATTATTAGTAAAAGCACATTTATTTTATATTTAAGAAAATAAGTTACAATCCATGTCCTTGGAAGGCCAAATCCCCCACATACACCCTATAAAGGAGCATCTCCTGGCAATGGTGATTCTGCTTCTTTCTAATATCTAGTTAAGCTGCTTCTTATATTAAAGTTTTAGCTTGACCTCATATAAAAATACTTGCTAAAGTCCCATGCAGAAATAGATCATATCTTCCAAGGCAAACTCTTTCATATTTCCCGTTACCCTTAGGCTCAGTTACATTACAAGCAATTGTACTATCAAATGCTCTAGTTAATTACAAAGAAATGAAGAATGAAAAAGAAAATTGAGACTATTGTGTAGCTATATAATGGAAATCAGTCTTGGCATAGGTCATGTAAGTTTGCATCACCGTTTCCTTTCATTGCAATCTGTTGCTGGGCTTTCTCCTCTGGTGGGGGGGATTAGCGATTACAGATACATGTGTTCTTCCTCACAAAACACAAGACAAATAGTACATCTAGTTTATTTCAGTTTTAAGTGAGAGAAAAAAATAAATTTCTCAGTGCATATAGAATCTAAATACCACCTTTTCTGTTTTCACCTAAAGAAATATCAATTTTCTCAACGAAACTTTTGCTTTTTTTCTGAAGATTACAGTAAATTTTGTATAAAATAAATAACTTATGCCACTTATTTATTCTGAATAATAGTCATTGTAAACTCAAAGTGGACACATAAGGAGCATTCTGAATGAACATGCTTGAGATCCAACACATTTTGAATCTCAGTAGGCACATGGATCAAATGAAGGCACAAAATGGGTCTCCCTATTGGAAACGTTCTTCTATCTCTGGGGTCCTACAGAATCAGCTACTTGAATGAACACTGGCAGTTCAATTAGAGAGTCAATCACATGGAAGTCTATTAAGAAAGTATGCAGAACTCACGTTCAGGAAGTATTTTTTTTAATTTTTAGCTTTATGTAAGATTTTTGCCTTTAGTGTTAAATATTATGTCTGTGTAGCATTGGAACTTGAAAGAAATTCAGCCTTAAAAGGGGTAAATAGAACGATATATATTTTTTGAGTGACAAAACTCTACACTTTTTATAGCAGAAATACACATGCATGTGTGCACATACAGAAACACAGATCTGTTCATGTGCACACACACATATACTTCAGACAGCAAACATGAATAATCCAATGAATGTAAAATTAATTAAACATTTTAATATTTAGTTCTTCTCAAAGTGACAAAATTTCGGAAAGGGTGTTAATAAAATCTGTTCCGGGAATGATATAATAAACTCATTTTTATATTGTTTAGGAAGTAAAGAATTGATGCATTGATTTGTAAAGGACATAATTTTAGAATATGTATTCATATCCTAACACTATTCAACCCCAACTCTTCAAAGATATATACAAAAATTTGCCTGTCAAGATATATAATTCCCTTCCTATATCCTTTCCATACTAGCTAGAAATTTGGCAGAGTAAACTTGAAAAAAGTTACTGCCCCTCACACAATAAGACTTGGCCACTAGCCACTCTAAGAGAAGGAGCAGTGTATGTGTGGCCTTTTAATCCTTTATTTCATATAAAAACTGGTTTTCCTGCTCCATCCCCTCACAAAGAAAGAACATGCTGGTGGATGGGAAGATGACTCAGATGTTAAGAGCACTGGCTGCTTTCCCAGAGGTCCTGACTTCAATTCCCAGTAACCACATGGTGGCTCATAACCATTTGTAATAAGTTCTGGTGTGTGCAAGCATGTATACAGACAGAACACTGTTGTATACATGATAAAGAAATAAATGAGAGAGAGAAAGAACAAGACTCCTTAGTCATTCTTCCTGAAAAACTCAAGTCCAGTCTTTGCATTCCTCAGTTTAGGGTACAACTTTGGATGCTATGAAAGGAAGAAGTTTCAGAAGTTCCACCAAAGACTTGTTGGAAAGTGCTCAACCCAGCCTCGTGGGGAACTGTCACTCATATGACAGACTGGAACAAACATACTAATCTCCACAGAGCTCTCTCTACAAAATGTATAAAACACTATTCCTTGAGTGAAAGAAATTGGGGATTATGGGTTTTCCTCAGAGAGTGTGTGTGTGTGTGTGTGTGTGTGTGTGTGTGTGTGTGTAGGAAAGAGGAGAGTGCATTTCCTGATCTGAAAAAGAGGAGTCATGACAACCCCAAAACGAGAATACATACATTGAGCAACTACCATACCAGCCCTGGAATAAAGTAAAATACACTGGCATTATCTCACTCTCTCTCTCTCTTTGTCTCTCTGTCTCTGTGTCTGTCCCTGTCTCTCTGTCTCTCTGTCACTGTACATGAAATTGAAGATT